AAGAACTACTTATGAACAGTAGTTTTAGTTGAAAAGACAGTATTAAAGCTGGCATATGTGACAGGAGATGTTTATCTTTCTGTTTTTGTTTTAGAGCCATGGCCAGCCCAGCCTCCAGGGACCAGTTCCTGAAACAGTTTGAGAACATAGTGGAGGGAATCAAACAGAACAAGGCAAAGGTCAGGGGTCAATGTGTAGTTATTCATAGAATGTAGTATTGTATAACTATCCAAAATCAAGGCAAGCAGTGTTTTTGATGGTCTCAATTTTAGTAGGAGGGCTATAATAGCAATTGTTTATGGAATATGTTTTGGTATGGAAGTACTGTAGTAAAACAATTATGTCAGGAACACTCTGCTTGTAATATTTTGAAGAAAGCAGCTTAAGTATAAAAAAAATAATATTATAAATTTTAAAAAATGACCCTTTTTTGTGCACAATGAATAATCACTTTTCAGAGGGTGGCGCTGTAGTTGTCTAGTGGTTCCATCCCTCATTATTTCAGACCAGGAAGCTTCAGACCTGCAGCTAGCATTTCTTAAGTCCATTGGTTGTCGGGAACCTGACCCTGCAAAAAACAAAGGGGTCCTTAACTGAAGTCTTTGGGCAGTCCATTGTGTAACCCTAAATGCCAAGCACTGGCAGTCCAAACCCTTCATTTTAAATACTGTATGCAGAGGAAATTTTATCCCTGTTTTATTTTCACCCATTTTATTTTGCCCCTTTGCCCTACTCACAGGTGGGCGAATTTAACACTCGGCAACATTATTTGCAAGCTTGAAAGAGGGAAAATGACACAGGCGCAAAATTAACCCTGAATACAGTGCCCACTCTTCAATTTTTTCTCTGACAGGCAGACTGATTAATAGTTCCTTGTTTTTCTTTGTTTTTGTATAGCTTGAAAAGCGTAAACAGGAAGAGAAGATGAAGAGAGACCAGTTGAATGATCAGTATTTAGACTTGGTGCAAAAACAGCGACTATACTTCAAAACAGTCAAGGACTTTAAGGAGGTACGTCTCAGTAATCAACAGTGTTTACAGTCCCAGCATGAATAATAACAATGTCAAAGTTAGATTACTTTTGGTTTTGAACAGATTTTATTGACAACTTGTCAAAGGGATTGGACACAAGTTCCTAAAACTTACCATATATACTCGCCTATAAGTCGGTCCTCCTATAAGTCGGTCATATTTTTGAAGCTTATGTTAAAAAGATTGATCTTCTAAAATACCAATCTTTTTATATCTCACCTGTAAGTCGGACATAGGGTTTTGGACCAAAGTTTAACTCCCAAAAAGCCGACTTATAGGCGAGTATATACGGTAGATAGTCCTCTCCCATGATTACAAAGCCCCAGCCATTAATTACCAAGGAATTTTCTAGGCCCTACCTTGATCACACTTGCGTGGATGATGCATCTAGGGATGTAAACTACCAGACGTGCTGCAGATGTTGCATCTGACCAACATTTTTCAGATATGTTACCCTCTCTAGGTTTTTTGGAACAGGTATATTCCGAAGTAACTATAGGCCCTATCTGGATCAAACATGCATGGATGATGCATCTAGGGATGTAAACTACCAGACTTGTTTTGGATGCTGCATCTAACCTACATTTTTGAGATGTGTTACCCTGTCTAGGTTTTTGGAGCAGGTCCATTCCCAAGGACCTATTTAAACTTCCTTACACCAAACATATGGATTATGTATATCTAAATCACACCTTCGTGGGGTCAAATTTTCGAGGTTAAGGAAAAAATATTGTTTTGGGGGATTTGATTTCGTGGTTGGAGAATGTTTAATAAGTACTGCAAATGATATTTTACATTTCGTGGTGGTCATAAATTTGTGGGTCTCTCAATACCTCAAAACCAACAAAAACTCAACCCCCACAAAAATTTGTGATTTCACAGCTGTATTTAAAGATGGACACTACCAAATTTGCTTCAGATGCTAGCGCTAACCTACAATTAGTCCTGCAAAAGACCAAGAACTTCCTCTTTTTCCGTATAGATGCTATATACCAAAACAGGTTTTAAAAAATACACTGAAAGAAAAACCTAGTGAATTTAACTAGTGTGCCTCGTAAAGTGTTGGTCGTGATTAATAAACTTTTATTTTACTGGTTAAGATAGTGAGTTGTGGAGCGGGGGTGTATAGATACTTAGATACCTAGTGAAAGTTATATCAATACTTAATTTACTAATCTTATCTAGTAAATATACCGATATCTGGTAAAACTACTTTTAAGGTAGTGATTGTATGGACAGTAAATTTACTAGTTTTCTCGTGACTTTAACTAGTTATTTTTTTACAGTGTAAGTTGAAAATGTTTACAGATATTGCATAATGCATAGCATTTAATGAAAAGAAGAAAGCACTGAGTTCTTTGAGTGACCTAAAAAATTAAAAAATTAATCAATTCGTGATGTAAAATACCAATGTATACCAAATTGTACAAATTGTATGTTAACAAGTAAAAGTGTTATTAAATATTTGTTTACTGCATTTTATTGTTTTCCTTAAGTTTTTAAATTAGAACTTTAGACCAGAAAGACTGTTATTTTTAGAGAGAATTGGTTGACTTTTAAATACCAATTTTTTTTTTCAGGAATGTCGAAAGAATGAAATGCTGCTGAGTAAATTAAGGAAGTGATAATGAGATTAGAAGAATACTACAGGATCAAAATGAACTGTTAAATGTGTTGGTCAGCTTAAAACAATTAAGATTGAATTCCAGCTATAGACTGTATAAAACTTGATATTGACTGATTATTACAATATTTATTCTTGGTGATATAAATGCTTAATGTGCAATTTTATAGAACTTCAGTAAAAGGTACTGAAACACTACAAAATGTTCTTCTTGTAATTAGGCACTAAAATCAGGGTTAGCCCCCCCCCCCCCCCCCCCCCCCGGAACCCACCCACACCCACCCACGCACACACCTCAAAAACACACCACTCTTTTCATCAAAAAGAGGACATAGAGTTTTTTTTGCATGCCCAATTTTTTTTATGTAGCTTTTCAATGTCAACAGGTCAAATAATTAATATCCCCGTCCCCTTTTCTCAGAAAAATGATTCTTGGTGCCTATTTATGCAAATATTTAATATTATATTTATCCTGATACGCTGTGATCCAAAATTCCTCGCTTCTAAAGACAAATGTAATAGAAATTTCGATTTTCTTCTTGTCTATACCATCCATGATCAGTGAAATCTGAGATATACCCGCGTAACACGTTGAAACTTCATTATACCTGTAACTGATTTAAGGAATAACCATCTTCTTATTTCTTATTTGCGACCGCTAATGCTGATACGTATTCATTGGGTGCAACGTCAAAAAGATTACCAATGTTGACATTAAAAATTATATACATTCGGCATGGACTACATGTACGAATGGACATCAGCATTCATGACATTGAAATATTTGGTATAAACTTTACCTAAGTATCTATTATAATTTTGACGAAATACCGGGAGGAAAATTGCACAATACACTAATCCGATGTAAAACAAAAATAGGTAGACAACATATTTTAAATATCCTAAAAATAAAAAAATAAAAAAAGACACAGCCCCATTAGTGTTCTTTCCACACGTTTACATTGTATATCTATCAATTCAGGAATATTACTGTATAAGCAGAAAATTTTAGCGAGGATTTAATTTTGTATTTTTCACTTAAATTTAATATCGGCAACAATTTATTCCGGTTATTATGTTCCCCAAACGAAGTTGGGGAACATATTGTTTTTACTCTGTTTCTTATTATTATTATTCTTATTATTAGGGTCTTCCGAGCTTCCTTCGGAAGACCCTACTGTTATTCTACTGTTTCTTATTATTATTTGCTTTTTTTTTCCCGCCGGATTTTTGACAGGCGATTTCTCAAAGGCCTTTCGACTGATTTTTATGAAACTTTCAGGTTAGATACCTTGTATTTACACCTATTTACATTTGCTTTCAATTTTTTGATACATGCCTTACTTTGTGAGTTATTGCCCTTTAATTGATAATTTTGATGTCTCGTGTCCACTAATAAACTCAAAAACGACTAATGATAATTACATGAAAGTTGGAGAACTTGTAGCCAATGCATTGTAGATGTGCATAACGATAAAATTATAAGCTTATTTCTTAAAGATCGGAAGCTATGTGACGGCAAATTTAAGTTATTTTTTTTCCATGAAATTTTGCTTCTTTTTGTATAATAACTTTTGAACCGATAATAATTTGATAAATATAAAAGAAAAATTGTGCATAATTACAAGAGCTTTCATATAAGATCAAGGAAAAAGGGCTGGCCCCTATAATTAGGGTTTAATAGCTTATAAACTTTTTTTTCCTGTTAGCTAAAAATATTGGTTTATTATGAAAAAGTTTGACTGAAATAATTTCGAACTGATTAAATCTTGTCGTTTGATATAAAGAGAAATAAACTTCAAGCTATATTTAATACTTTTTTATAAAACAAATATGTGAGAAACCTTACAGGAACAAGTTGTCTACTACAGTGTATAAGCCAAGCCTTTACTGGGCCTCTTGCATAGTTTTAGTTGATGCATCTGAAAGATATTGTTTTGATTCGGTGTTTCTCTGTTTTCTTTTTATTCAAATAATTAATATAATGTGATGATGTATACAGCAATAAGTAAAATCAAAATATTTCTGCATTAGTTTAGAGGAAGTCTTTTCGGGGCCTCTTGTTTGTAAACAACGCGCGGCATTGTGGGAAATGGGAAGGTACTAAAGGCCTGATATACTAAAAACCTTATTTGACCTGATTCAAAATCGTCAGTAAATATTCCAAACAAACGAATTTTTGTATAGCATTATGCATCCTAGTCATAAAGTATTTAAATAAGTCATTTGAAGTACTCAATATTGTCATTTAATCTAAAATAAAAACATCAGGTAAATATCAGGTCTTTCGTATATCCGGTTATTAGTGTTTCCCAAAAGTCGGACACATGTTTACAAACTGAAAGTTGGAAATCATGCGGTAACTGGAAAAACCCGAAACCCCCCGATTTTTGGAGAATACCCATACAGGAGGGGTGAAACCCCAATAAAGTGGTGGAAACCCCATAAAATTGAATGTAATGGGGTACTATAAGGCCTAAGGTGATGTTTAATTGAATGATATTGACATCCGTAAATTTTTATAGCCAATTTTACCTCAGAATCGACGGGTTTCTTCTTGTCTTGATATACTGCACACCACGCCCGATCTAAATTCGCGATCGCTGAAGTCGTTTCGAGTAATCCGTGGAAATAATTACTGTAACCTTGATCAATATGAATATTATATTTTGTATGAATATTATTTTTAATAAAAAATTATTTGTAAGGAAACCTTAAGAATATAAAAGAAGTATGAAATATTTATCATGTTGAAAGACATTACAGTGCATTTTTTTAAAGAGTTTAACTAGTCCATTAATCAAGAAATAAAGTCATTTTTATAAATTCCAATCATTTATGATATGTAATTAAATTAAATTAATTAATGAATGAATCTGTTAATGTAATTATTATAATGAAAGACATTACAGTGAAATTTTTAATTGAATGTTTTTTTTTATAAATTTAACTAGTCCATTAATCAAGGAATAAAGTAATTTTTCTCAATTCTAATTTTCCAGTTATTGTTTTAATGTTTTTGGTTCTGTTTTTTTTGGGGGGGAGAGTGTGTTGTTTTTGTTTTTTTTGTTTTGGTTTGTTTTTTGTTTTGTTTTGTTTTGTTTTTTATGCAAGTAATAGAAAAAAATATACTCATTGATATGAGAAAGCAACATGTATCCATTACAATGAAATTATTAGAATCCAGGTCTATGAAATAAAAAAGTCTGATAAAAAATAATAAAAATGTGCATGTTGCATATGTGAATCCTTGTACAGTTGGCATTGTAACACTATTGTGAGAATATTATTCACACCTCAGCTAGCTCTGTTGTTTTGTACTGGGATAGACAGGCACCCCTGTGTGTGTACATGCACTATATACACAGCTGTTGACACTTGGTCAACTTGATAATAAACACCTTTTGTTTAAACACCTGGGTTCCCAGCTAGTCTGACCAACCCCCCTATGGCAGGGCATGTGTATATACATTGAACCTTTGCTATTCTCAATTGTACAGTTATGCTTTACAGAATTTCATTTTAAGGACGTTAGCACACACATAAGGAAAATATGAATTTTGATAATTTTGATAATTTTGATAATTCATGACAAATTAATAAATAAAGACCTTTCAAATTAGTAATAACTGAAAATATTCATAGTTTCCTTATGTTCCCAGCTCTATGTTCTAACCTAACACAACACCAAACAATGGGATTAGTTTGAACAGAGAGGCAATGGAAATTTTTAGTCGACAGATTCAGCTTGCAATGAAATGTAAAATTACATAAAATATCTGTGCTTGCAGATGATCAAATAATTTCAGTTATCTTTCAACCAGTTCAGACAGACATTTTTCATAGTTAAAATTCCATCAAAACTTCAGTTCTTTTATTTTGTTGTGTGATTTTTTTTCTTCTGTTTTTTTTCTTTTATTTCATATTTGTTGTAATTTAAAGACAATTCAAAATGTAAACAACTGATGTAAATTTTTTTTTTTTAGAAGAAAAAGACATTAAAAAAGTTACTTTGAAATAAAATATCTATATATTTGAAAATTGGTATATTATTTTAATTTACTATTTATTTCAGGTTTCAGTATTTTCATCTTTTGACATTGATTTATTTTTTGTTCTCTTTGTAACATATAAGTAATTATTATTTTTATTTTTAATTATTATTGTTGTTTTGAACCTTTGAATTTCAAATTTTTATATACCTACATTCAGAATTTGTCTAAAATCTCAAAAATAACTTCAGTATTTTCATATTTTGAATTTTATTTATTTTTTGTTCTCTTTGTAACAAATAAGTAATGAATTATCTTTAATTACTATATTTTTTTTGTTAATGTTGCTTTGAAGTTTTGGATATTTTCATATCTCTAAATTCAGATTTTCTCTAAAATATCCTAAATGAATTTTTTTTTTTTAATCCACTTGGCTAGAGCTGGTAACATTGGGATAATATGAATAATAATTAATACACAAATTCATATTTTCTTAATGGCTATTTTTTGTTAATTACTTATTACATAATTAATATTTTACTATTATCATTGTAAAACAAATATAATTGTGGAAATTATTATGAATTATTTTAATATTATCTATACAATTATATTGATAAACAGCTCGCTTCGAATTTAGATCGGGCGTGGTGTACGGTAAACTCGTAATGGCGCCCGATTTTCTGTCGATTCTGAGGTAAAATTGGCTATAAAAATTTACGGATGTCAATATCATTCAATTAAACATCACCTTAGGCCTTATTGTACCCCATTACGTTCAATTTTATGGGGTTTCCACCACTTTCTTGGGGTTTCACCCCTCCTGTATGGGTATTCTCCAAAAATCGGGGGGTTTCGGGTTTTTCCAGTCACCCGAAATCATGTGAAGTTGAGCATTTCTTACCACACAAGCCACAGGCCGTATGTAGACATGCACGCACATTTAATCTGCAGCTACGAAGTACTTTATCAATCCTCCGGAGCATTATTTTCAGCAGAATTATCCGATTTATAAGTTTTTGTGTGAATTGTTTACGAGGAAATTCCGACTGTTACATTAACAAGCTGAGCACTCTTGACTCTGGTTCGTGGTTCCCAGTGATAAATGTATCGAGTGATGAAAGAGTCGACGGTGACATTTTAAAGTTTGATTGGCGTGGACCATCGGAATGAAGGTTAGAAATTTATTTTACCTAAAATTTAAATTACTA